AACATGAACATCATGTATCAAAGTTACGTGTGAGCAGCCTTTGCAGCAGAGCACACCTGCCAGCTTCTCCCAGAGCTGCTGCTGTGTTTTACCATGCAAAGTTTCTGGGTACAACGATTGTCCTAAATTCGGACACAAAACCCTTTAGCCCAGAGCTCTCCAAGTGATTTTGTTTTTTCTCTCAGAGAAGTAAGAAATTACTGTTTAACCTAAGGGTCTTAGTATATACCAGSCACTATTCCGTGGCTACGTTTGCAGTGCAGTAATTTTACCTGTTTTGCTGGTGATGTAAACTTCAAGTGCCATGGCAAAGGACAAGATTTACAGTCAAATTATGTCAAGCAGAGATTGATTAACCACGCACAGACAACTTTTCTGCTGACAAAGTCCATATCTGTGCTAAACCCACTTCCTTGTACTGAGCAACCTCTAAATAGAGGATTTCTTGCTCACCTGCGTTTTCCTGCAACTATCACTAAGTTGACACATATGATTTATATCAAAGTGGCAAGGTGCTTATGAAGCCTACTAATTGAAAACTTTCTATAGCCTTTTTCTATGTTATCAATATAAGAATGTAATAACTTTTTACATATGATTATAATACAGTGAAATCATTCTCAATATATTATCAATGATAGCTTTATATATATATTGCTATAAGTTTTTTTAGTGTATTAGCAACATATAGTATATCAGATACATGTAATCTAACCAACTAAATTAGTATATAGGTAAGTGAAATCACCAAGAAGCATAAATCAAAAAAGTTCTGAAGAAAGTAGACAAGTAGATACTATAACAAAAACAGTAGCAAGCACTAATGAGAACTTGGCAAAAGCACGAGACAATCAGCAAAATAATTAAAAATGACGATTTGGAGGACTAGAAAAAAAAAACATAAACATCACAACTGCGCATGCCCTGAAGACAAAAGTTAAAAGTCCACTATGATGAAGAGGATGGTATCTCATTAGAGGGAGACCCCCACGACCACCGAATTGAAAATAACACATGCGCACTTGTAAAACTATAATATCATGTATTTCCGTGCGCATGTATAGTGGTGGGTGTATAGTGAGCGCATGGGGGACAGTGACAATGTTCATGTTACACCATACTTACTGTATAAATATGTGCCAATTTGAAACAAAAGCAGGTGAGTTAAAAAGAAAAATCCCCCTCACCTCTAGCGCTGCAATAAACAAATACCTGCTCTACAGACACCAGTCTATAAAGGTTTAGAAATAAAACTTTATTTTTTCAAGCATCAAAGTCAATAGTTGGATACAGCGCGTATGGCTGAACTGGAACACCCCACCATTCTGGGGGCACCACACGATCCCTGTGACCGCAGTTTGTTTCCGTGAGCCCCGAACCCGCCCCTCAGCTCCGCCTGAGCCGCCTGCGGAGGCCGAGCAGGAGCTGGGGCCGGTGCTTAAGGATGGGAGACGTGGCTCAGACTGAGGGAACACTGAGGAAATTCTCCTCCCTAAGAGTGAAAAACACCCCCGGGCAAAGCCGCCGYACCCTTAAGCGCTTGCCCGCTGTTTTGAGTTCTGTTTGGTTTTATTAAACACAGTTTGAAATTCAGACCAACACAGCGAGGCCGTGCGGYGGACACCTGTGACAAGCGAGTCCCTGGGCAAGGGTTTTTCCAGCGCTCGCCCCCGCCCTCAGCGCCGGCCCCAAGTGCCCCCCGACCGCTACCCTTTTGCCCCGGCGGGGCCCGCCCGTCCCGGCCCCTCCAGCACTCACTGCTTCCCCAGCGCCGCCATCTTGTCCGGCCGCCTGCCCCGCGCAGCCGCTGCCGTTCTGCGGCCGCAGATTCCTCGCGGCCGAATCCTCCCCACACATATTCCCGCCCGCCCCGGAGACCCCCGTGGCACCGTGCCGCGGTTCCGCTCCGGGAGAGAAGAGGAGAGCGGGCGGAGGCGGCTGGAGGCGGCCGAGAATTTTTTTTTTTTAACGACTCGTTGTCGAGGGGCGAAAGTGCTGATCGGGGAAGGGCAATGGCGGGCGCTCCCTGAGGGGAGCGGCGGGGGGAGCCGGGGGCGCCTCAGGGCAATGGCGGGGAAGGTCCTGAGGGGGAAAAGCCACTGAGACTCTCCCGGTGCCACCGGCGGCCCCCGCTCCCTGAGCTGCGCTGAGAGCCACAGTGTCCCCCCTCAAGCCATCACCGACCTGTCGCTTGTTACTCGCTGAAGATTGAAAGAAGAGTTTAATTTCCCAAAACGTTATTAAAAGAGTGATTCTGCCAAAAGGGCCGTTATTGGAAAGATGAAATCTCGCTACAGACGGTGCAGTTGCTGTAATCTCAAGATTTATCCCAATAAGAAAGCTTTTTGTATTATATGAATAGCGTTGGGCTTTTCTGCAGTGTGTTCAGAAGAAYGTTACAAAATGCTGATTAACAACCTTTATTTAAAATTATTCCTAAAAAGTCACTTAAGGAGACTGAACCTTGAAATTTTTTGCTGTATCATTTATAAGCATTGTAACTTCAGGGCCATAAAGATAACCTTGCCTCTCTTTTCCCCATCAGAATTAATTTTAAAATCCCCAAAACTTAATTTAGGCTTTTCAAATTCAGTAGCTACACTGGCAAAATTCTTACTTTTAATGTTTCTATTGCTTTTTCTTGATAATCCTTAGCAGACTCCCTGTCTAATAATCCCTAACAGACTTCAGCTATCTTAACAACAAATACTAGTGGCTATGCATAAAAAATAGAAACTAACAGCTAATTTAATAAAAGATGTGAAACGCCAGAATCACTAGGGTTAGATGAGAAATTAAGGGATTTAATTGGAGGCACACTAGAACTGGTTGCCAAAAGGGGCTAAGGACGAAAGCTCTTTGTGATCTCTGCGAGCGCCAGGCAGGTGTGAAGCCACTGGTGCAGGTACGTGGCTGGAGCAGAATCCTGCTGCCACACTGCTGCTCGAGGGACACCTGGAACAACAAAAAAAAACAACAAAAAAAAAACCACCTGTAAATACAACAGGGCAGTCAAAACCATGAGCAGTGTTGCCACAAGAACAGAAGATAATCCCCTCATCAGAGTATTCTCTGAGTCCAATAATTCCAGGAATGTTGATGATTTGGAAAACACACAGCTATATTGTGACAGTGACCTGTCAAGTGCTGACTTTCTATTATAATTTATCTTGTTTTGTTGTGGGTGCCCTGTTGTACAAAGTGCTCTCCTATATTCTAATATTAAATATTTGATAATAAAAAATGCAATGAGAAAAGTACTTTTTTTAATCCAAGCCTCAAGTTTGTTTTAAGAGTAATATCCTTCAAAGCTTTAACTAAGTGCTATTAAAAGTCACTACAAAATCATACCGTAAAAGTTGCTCTGTCCTTAGAGTACAGGTTGTTTTGTGCTCTATTCTATATTGCAGCACACATATATGGAACATATGTACATTACCTGATGTTCATTTTAAAGGATTTCCCGTAACTGTGAGTTATACCTCCACAGCCCTCTCAGAAAAGGTTCCATCCTAGGAAACCAACCTTTTCTAGGCTACCAGCAGCTTGCAAAGCTACATTTTCTTAATCTAATTATACCTGCRTCCCTAACTGTAGGAAAACTGGGTTTTCTAGGCCTGCTTTGTTCTTTCCAGAGAATTAGTTTAATATATATGAGGAGAACACATGAAAAGGAACTACGAGTGCCTCAAGTGTTTATCAGCAGGCAGGGTACTGTTGATAAATATCCCCAGCTAAAGTAATAACTTGTCCACGTTTGGTTTATAACAGGCCTCTCAGACTGGTATTAGATCATGAAGAGAGAGATCTCAACAAGAACAAGTAATTTCTCTTGCAGAGATATTGCAAATAATAATAACAGCCTCTTGACTGCTCTGGCACCAAAAAAAAAAGCCCTTGTTCATTAAAGGAGAGAAAGACAGACTGAAAAACAGCTCCTGTCTATGGCTCATGAGTACATTAAGCACTTGGCAGATGGTGTTTACAAAGAGGAGGGTTCACCCTGTGTGTTCCTGTTTGGAGCTGGGTCAGTCCCTAGGGCAGGGCACAGAGGTCTGAAGTAGATTGGCTTGCCAAAAGAACCATCATTCAAAAGTCTTTACAAATTATTTGCCAAAAGAACCCTCATTCTTCATGCTTATCAGGAGATTTACAATGAGATCACTTGTTCTGGAAAGTTTCAAAGGTGATCTGCTCCCCTTTCCTGAAGGCAGTGAATTTTGAGTCTAAATTTAACAGGTTGACTTCTATTGACCAAAAGAGGCTGCAGATATTTAGGACCCTTTATCTGTTGTTTAATCTACTGTAAAATCAAAGTTAATATCTAAAGTAAGGCCCTTAAAAGTACTCAGCTGAATGTTGCCATTGACACGGTTTCATTGTTGAGCCGTGCCTGGTAACCTCAYAATGAGTTTATGATATTTACCAGTGATAAGGTGCAGCAGCAGCTCTGTTTTAACTTGCACAGACGAAGCAGTTGGATCAAAGCAATAAATGTCCTGAATCAAATTGTCATCAAGTTTCTGCAAWGCAGAGAACAAAAAGATTAGGGTGTTTGTGAAAAGCTTACAGAATGAAAGATGGCTGAGAAGTACATAGGAAATCTATATGTAATGAATTATTTCATTGCCATTTCCCCCATGGTAAATTCAACTGTATCTTCTTGGAGGAGGAAGAATAGAAAATAAACTCTCAAGAATCTGAATTCTCACCAGTTTACACTCACTCCAGCTCTCAATRTCTTCTGAGCCCTCCCAGTCTGGATGCAAAAGCAGCAGCACAGCCTTAACTACATCATGCACCAGAGCTGGGGGTACTACATAGCTYTTTATTCCAGCAAAGCTCTCAGCATTGAGTTTCCGGATACACTCACGCAGCTCCTGCAGCATGAACCGGTGGAACAGAATCCCTGCGTGCTTCACATTTGCCATGTGTTCTGCCTCTGCAGTCAAAAASAAACCTCTCAAGAAGCTGCTCAGAAACATCTGCTCCTCAAGATTTACATTATTGACTGACAGTGTATGTGCTAGATTCCTGAGGGCAACAAGGTGCCTGCTTCACACTTTGGATTTCAGCACACAGTCCCCTGTGAGCCATATTTAAAACCCAATCATTCTGTTTAACTCTACTCTGCTAAGCACTGAGACCTGCTCAGGGGTAGTTTYTGTATACCAAGAATTTGTATTTCTCTTTCCATCTGTAGGAAGGATACTTAAATTACCGTTTTACTAAGATTCCTAATTTCACCCCAAAAAGCTATCTTACATCTGTATCCACAATACCTARCACATATGTTGGTTCTGTTTCCTCTAGAGACCTCTTCAGGACCTCTGTGCAGGCAGCTTGGGTCATCTTTAGCATTTTTTGCAGGTCTTTCTGTTCCTGAGGTGATAATTTCTTGTTCTGTCCAATGCTGATATCAAGTATGCCAAGAGTTTGTCTTGATAGGTCATGGAGAGGTACTGCAATGTGGTGTTCTCCATAGACAGACAGGAGTGTGACCTCTGAACTGTCTGCGCACTTGAACAGGTCATCTCTGAAATGAAATGTGYTAGGCATTATCATGCTGGTTTGTTYTGGTGATTTACTCAGCATATTTAAGTAAGATGCCATTCATCTCTTGTTGTTGAAATAAAGGCATTACATTACTAAATCATAGTTTGTTTCCTTGAACTGAAATCTTGAACTGAAATCTTAAATGATACTGAGTATCATTCAAGGCATGTACACAAAGGAAAAAATTGCATTGGGAACACAATATTGCTTAGCCAAGGTGATTGCTGAAAATCATGAGAATTTTACAAATYCTGCTTTAAAAGCAGTTTGCTGTTTCTAACTGCATTGACATTTGTTCTAGAGTGTTTTATAAAAAGTAAAAATAGCTGCTGGAACAGCAAATGGCTGTTCAAGCAACTTTGACAACAAGGATGATATGCTTAAAAGACAAGTCTGCAAGGATCTTGGCAGTGGAAAAAAACAGAGAATTGAAGGAAATGAGACTAATATGGCCAGGAAAAAATACAGATTATTCTAAAGAGCAAAATGATTCAGTCTAGCCCGTAATCCTGCAAACCTTGGCAGCTCAGCTAGTAAGCATTAAGTCAGAAGTTTTTGCAGCCTAAAGTCAAAGAGAAAATACTCCTCACCCCTTCATAGTTCAGTGCCATGTGCACGTGCATCAGAAGCCTTGATAGTGAGAGTGGCAGCCAGACACTATCTCAGGCTGGCACTTTCAGGAGCTTCATGTGGGTCAGCCTGATGCAGGCTGAGTTGGGGAGCAGAGGGGACCAGTTCCATTGCAGGTGCTGGAGCCTACCTGAGGAGGTTTTCCTCTCTGAGGAGGACAACAGGAGAGCTGTGGATTTCCTTTTGTCCTGTGTTATCTGTAGTGATCATCTTGCATAGACCATAGTTCTGCCAGAGAGAAAAGAGAGGTTTAGTGGCATCTGAGAAAGGAACAGATATTTTCATGCTCGGAGAGGGCAGAAATGGTTTCTTTCTTTTAGGAAACTCCTACGGACATTCAAGAGCAATGGGATGGTTTAAAGACATCTCCCAACAATGCTTTGTTTTATTCCCAGAGATACATGAAGAATGTGCCCTGGACCTCCCTCAGCAGACTATTTAATCCACCCCAGGCTCCACGCTGAGGAACACCCACAGGCCTAAAGATTTCCATTCTTTTTCCCATCCTCTTGCAGTCCTTTCTCATGTCATGTTTGTGTCAGCGTGCCTTGACACATGAAAAGCACAGAGGGGAGCGAGTGACCTGGCTATCAGGCAGCTAACAAGGGAACAGTGCCGAGCCTGGAATGACAACGGAACACTGCCAACACAAACCATGCTTATCAGAGGAAGCAGCTGAATTATGGCTGCAGCAGATGCCATATAGACTTTGGGATGACWCAGGATCAGTCCTAAGTATGCATACACTTTTCATCTTCTTAACTTGCTGCTACATGAAGTGACAAGCTTCCCAGGGCCCGAGTGCCTGCTGAACAACTGGAATATGACCTGCATGGCACAGGGCTGCCTTTACAAGCTGGCTAATTGRGAACCAGTCACTTCCTGGGCTGTATTTACGTCTTGGCTGCTGACATAAGTTSAGAACAAAGAGCTAATATATTAGCTGGAACATTCTCTTGTCCTCATAAAATACCCTAATTTTGACATGCAGAGAATCTCCAAAGAGAAGCATTTCCCTTTGTGGAAGTCCCAGACAGCAAAGCCATGGATTGATGGATGGGTGTGGGGTTTTGCTCTATTGGTTGCTATGCAGCAGTGAGCACTGAAGTTGGAGAATATTCTCCTTTCCTATTGAGAAAGGGTAATACTAGCGGTGCTCTTGAATTCCTTTACWTGGGAGGATGAAAAGAATGAAGAAAGATCTCCTTTACAGAGGGAATCTTCCCTCTCTACCTTTGCACGGGCAGACACAGAATCTTGTGCAGGCTTCAGTTTTARTAATAAAACCACTGGGAAAACAGGCAGCTGGAGATGGCACGTCCTCTCTAAAGCAGCCTTTCAGCCCCTAATGATTACAGACCTTTTCTCTGCAGTACCTTGTCTTTGTCAGGTGCCACCAGATACATTGTGACAGTGTTGATGTTGGGTGCTCTGGGATGCAACCAGTCCAGAGCCGTGACAGCCACTTTTAGGACATTTTCCTGCATGCAGATGTGGTGGTAGGCTCTGCTGAATGCACGGCAAACTCCCTGTGAAAACAGAATCCTTTAAGTGAGCCAGACAATTCCACAAGATTTGGGAGAAAAAAGCTGGGACAATGTTCATGTTGTAACGAATTGCTTTAATCAGAATTTGTAAACCAGAAAAGGGACTGTGAAATGTCCCTTATCAAATAAGGCTCTGAAGTACTGAGTACCCCGTCACTGCCAATTCCTTAACCAGACAGAGCTGATTTTTATGGGAATAGCCAAGCAGTCTGGTAAGGTTGGTTTGCTGCGCTCCCTGCTGCCCAGATGGTGCATCCACAGTGAGGCTGATCCCAAAGAGCATCCCAAAGAAATGCGGACGGCTGTCRCTTACAATTATTCCAACACGTAAAAAGTAAGGTTTTATGTCATTTTATAGAAATGAACACAAATATGAGATTGAGAGCTTCAGGAAATAAAAGCTGCTATCTTTGGTCTTTGCACAAAAAGTCAATTAACTTCCTAGTCAGGAGAAGAATAAATAAATTATTGATTAAGTGATACCTCATAATCAATTTCAGATAAGATGTTAATCAGCAAATAATGATAAGGTGCTCTGCTTGCACCAATTTCACCACATAGTGCAGAAAGGGACCCACAGATATTTTTTAAATTTGTATATCTTATGTTTACTCAGACCTAATATGTAAAATTCACAAATCTTTTGCAGACTGGACTAACAAACTCCTTTCTGATATTGCCCACCTCATAGAAAAGGATCTCATGAGTCAGGAAGATGGATGTCTCAGAGGGGTCCCAAAGAGTATCAAGCCCTAGAATTCCAAAAACTCTCCAACGAGCATCGTGCAGGGGCAGCACCAGGAATGAACCTTTCCTCTCCTCCTCAGGGCGGTCGGAGTTCCAGAAGTGAATGTTTCCATGGAGCTGAACACTTGGAACATAGATTGGCTTTCCCTGGTCAATGGCTGCAAAGCTGAAATACAAACTCATGAGGAGGTTTGTCAGGAGGAGCAGAAAACCTTTAGTGAAACAATAAATACTGCAGCTTTGATCTCTCCCTGTTTTTTGKCATCAGAGAAGGGAGGTGTGAACTGCAAACCCCAACCACGCTCAGYAACACCACATTTACCACTTGCATCCCAAAGGCAGTGGTAATAAATAGGCACTTTTCATCCTTAGGACATTTTAAAAACATCAGCTAATGAATGGAATGAAAAGGAATACAGAAGCAAGCAGCAGTTAYATTTAATAGGTTAGAAGCAGCAATGTTTGAAGAGACAAATGTGTCTGGGTTTTGGAAATGACAAGTGAAGAAGCATGAAAGCTGTTTATAGCATAAACACTAGAGAAGGAAAGGCATTGTTCTCAAAAATATCCTGTGGATATAAACTGGTGTAAGGGAATTAATTTTTAAAGAAGAAAACATAGGCCCGATGCCACAGACATTTGCTGAAGGATGAGATTTATTAGACTGTGAGCTAATCTCCCCAAGGAAATCCCAAACAGAGCAGTTCTAAGCAGACCATGAGGAGTATAAGGCCACATATAGGATATTGGATCACTCCATGACAGTCTCTTAGGAGATTTCCTCTCCGGACTACTCTGTCAGCCTCAGTTTCTGGTGCATCCTGAATGCTGCCCTGTGCATTCTAAACAGTTTTGAGGAAAAGGAACAATAATTTGCAGCTTTTCTTACCTTACTCCTTTCATGTCTCTGTGCAGTACCTGGTTTAGGACATAGGGAGCATCRTCTGGGGTACAGGCCACGTAACGCAGGAGAGCATTTTCCTGCTCTGGGGAGAGCTGGTTCTCTTCCAGAAGGGCAATATATGCACCAATCTTCTTGTTATCCCCATGGAATTCCACGTCCTAGAAACCAAATGTATCCCATTACAGTCTGTATATTAGCCACTGGCACTTATTTCATGGAATTAGCACTTGTCTCATTTTTGCTGAGATGCTGCTCTGGGTCACTGACTTTCTGTGTCAGCAACCTCATGATGTGGCTGTGTCTGTCCAGTGCACTCTGTGACAAGCACAAACACTTGATATTTTAATTGGCAAGGAAAACTGATTTTCCTYTCCTGTTGCTAATAGCAAGGAATTTAAATAGAAAAATTAAATAGAAAAATAATCCCTAACTATAATCTGTGCCTAAATATGTCTTATGGATTTCTCCTCCAAAAGGAGATTCCCTTAACAAAAAGGACAAACAAGTGCCAGAGTTGCCACATTTACAAACTCAGACAATATTGTAAGAACACTGCATCTACCCTGACAGAAATTTGGCTTTGAGGAGGGCTTCATTGGTGAGGACAAACAGCTAAAGTTGCAGCTGCAAGTTAAAAACGAAATTATTTCCACTACAAATTAACCATCTTTGTCCCAAACTGACTCTGCTGAGCTTCACTTCAGAAGCTCCAAAACKACAACAATGGATCTGAGTCAACTCCTCCATAAGAGACAGAAGTGTCCATGAGATTCATTCTGTACTGGCAGAGCAAGGATGCCTACCTGGGARAGGGCCTTAAACACTGCTTTGTACACTGGATCCATGTTCATTCTGCTGGTCTCTGCTGCTTGCTGGATATCMTGCAGCCATTTCTTTCTGGCTGAGCTTTCCAAGCTCTCCATGCCACTTTGTTCCACCCTTGTAGTCAGGAATGTCACCAAGTCATCAATATTTTCATCATCATCGCCAGGGAACTCAGAAGCAATTAACTCAAGGAAAGTCTGGAACGTCTTTGGAGAGAGCTTCCCCACTTTACTGAGCTGTGGGTATCGGGAGCAAAGGTGTTCCTTTGCTAGTAGAATAAAATAGAAAATAAGACAGGAAAATCTAGTTGATTAATCAGTTTTGCAAAATATGAATTAAGACCTAAACTGGCTTTTGATGGAGTCCATCCAGTCCATCATAGCAGGTTTCTTTCAGCTATCTCTCCTAAATGGAAGWGGTCACAGTGGAGGTAATCTCCAGTTTCCAGGCTGGATGCACCCTTTCCTCCAGATGCCTGCCTTCCCTCCTATRAGAAAGAGCCCCGCACAGCCGTGGTTTCTCTCCAGGTGCTGGTTAACTCCTCATGCGGGCTGTGAGAGCTGTCCCAGCCCAGCCCCGGCTCTGGGCTCACGGGGGTGCTCTTGCACAGCCTGAGGAACGTGGAGGCGGCTGCCTGGCTCCGGGAGCCCGGCGTTCACGGGATCTGTGACTGATACTTCCATCATTTTTTCTGCATCCTGTTKTCAAATCCTCTTGGACCTGAAGATGTCCGTGCTCATGGCAGGRGATTGGACTAGRTGACCTTTACAGGTYYYWTCCAGTCCAAATCATTCTATTCTCATTATCATTGATTTTAAGTAGCAAGTACTAAATTGCCCCAATCGTGGTGGAGCTGACTGTAAATGTTGTCTTATCCAGTGCATCATCGAAGGAACATTCARTATTCTAATTAAATTCCTGATTTTCTGACAGGACTAGGATGGAGAAATTTTTGATCATATAAAATGTTTGTATTTTCACCTCTTCTCCTCTCTTTGAAGAAAGGGATGAAGAAAGAAATACACATGAAATTGAATGTGGTATGATCACTTCCTTCACTWCTGAGACAGCATAATGAATTATTTTCCCCATAATATCTAATGTAACCCTTTTCCCTTGCAAGGAAAATCAAATAATTCTACTCACTTTTTACTCAGTGTTTCCACCCAGGAGAGGTGCAATGTCTGTGAACCCTTCCCCCAAACCTGCTTGTTCCACGTCCTTGAGAGATGAGGTTGAGGCTGCTAGAAACGGTTTTATGTGGCTGGTAGGTGGTATTGATTTTACTATGCTCCCTTTCTATTTATTTGTCCTTTAGTTTATGAGCCCTTCATGGAAGGGCCTGTGTCCTTCCATATTTCCATGGTATATTCTGGCATGTTTTGAATACAAGAGAGCAGTAAACTGCCAGTTTCTCCTGGCTGGACAGTCTGGAGGTGATTAAGTGTGACATGCTGGTGTGCTCCCACCCCACCAGCTGCCTCCAGTGAACTAAAGGATAAAGAGATTTTGGTGGCTGCCAAAGTGAGCCATTTTTAGTGATTTGCAGCAAAACAAGGAGCATGAAGGCCAGCATGGAGATGAAAAAAAGCAGTCCTCTCCACCCAAGCACACATGCAGACATGTTCTTAATTGCTAATACAGTGTTTCAGAGCACCTTATGTTAATATGCATGAGGCTGCCAGACAGGTTCAGGTGAACCTGYAGCACTTCTGCTGGACCCCAGTCTATTCTATCAAGAACCAAATTTGCTAAGTTTATTCAGTGAAATAAACCAACAGAGAAGTGAGACTGGGAGTTACTGTGTAATTCATGAGAGCTGTGCGACAGCGTGGATAACTACAGGCTATTTGAGACCCATAAGGAAAGCTGTTCTCTCCTGTGAGGTACATTCCTGCAGGAAGCACAGTAAAATGTATCTATTAAAAATAACTGGATAACACAGATGGACTAAACTAAAAGTGCAAACGTGTCCTCAGGCTTTATGTGTGTTTTTTTCACTGCCATATCACATGTATACAYTGCATGTTACAGCTGAAATAACTTTTCAACACTTCCCAGTGTCATGAAAACATTGGACTGCTTCTCTGCCTGGGAATCCTGCACAGGAGGAGAGGATGGAGCAATGCATTAACAAGTAGGTCTCCAAGTAGGTCTGGGTAACTGTTCCTTTCCATTTTACACTCATTCTATGTATGCTCATGATTGCTTGCAAAACCAAACCAGTGCTTGCAACAGCCTCATTAGCCCTGTCACTGAATGGYTGAAAGCCTCCTGTGCTGTTCCCACAGAGCAGAGATGTCTCTCCTTACCCTTCATCACAGCCTCTCTTTCCATGCCTCCCTCAAATGTGCTCAGAACAGCAACCATCTCTTCCAGGTCCAGAGACCCACATGCAGTGCTGTCCCACTTGTCAAAAAGTGCCTCCAAAAGTTGTTTCCTTTGGGCCATGAGAGATATGTGGTGAATCTGCAACAGAGGAACAGTTGGTGTTTGGTGACTCCTGGACACTGATGCTGGACATTACACAAGTGTGGACACACTACACCAGTGTGCCAATCACATTATTCCTATGAGCCAGAACAAATCTGAATAGACATRGCTCAAACCTGGAGATGTATCAGTAAATCGGGAGATACTTAGAAACACTAAACAAAGGTGACAGTTTTGTTTCCAAGCACAGCAGAGAGTTATTTCATAGTGAACAAATGAAGTCTAAGCTGGATTTAAGGTGAGGTCAGCTCAGGTAACTCACTGCAAGTTTTCCAGAACACAAATGTGTTCCCAGTAAGAACTAACCACAGCCCTGTCAGTGACACCCTGAGATGTGACAGTTTGTATTTCCGTACATTGTTATTTTCCTGTCCTTTCCTGAAGTGTGTGGGCTCCAAGCAAATACATGTTACCRTTTGTCCTCTAAACCCAGCACAGAGGGATAACTGGCTGGAGTGGAATTCTCTCAAAGGCCAAAGTACTGGCAGTGTGTGCTGCGTTCAGTGAGGACTGTGGAGCCGTCAGATCCAATATCTCATGCAAATTAGGTCAGCAGCACAGAGGGAAATCAGAAAGAGGTCCGAGGGAAAACATAGCAAGAGAAAGGCACCACAAAACAGATCTGAAGTGATACGAGGCACCCTGATGCTGGGCATGAGGAAGGGGCATATTTTTTTTCAACACATGGCAAGGGCACCTTGTGACTTAAACACAAAGAAGCCTGTGCATATTAACATCCAGCCATGCATGTAGAAAACACAAAMACACTTGTTTTAAAATCCTCCCCAAACATCCCTAACCTCCTGTGTACATGSCAGTGCTGTAGGTCACAGATGAGGTTCTTGGCTATTATAAAGGTGAATAAGCAGAATGGAATGTTTTGGGCTCTTTCTCAATTAACTATCAACTGTTGTCTCACTGAGTCCAGCTCTAGGACAGACAGACAACCTCTTAGGGATGAGTCTGTCATCACTGCTAGAGCTGAGGGCTAGGGAGGGAGCATTTGTATGAAAACAAAGGGGTGAAAGGTCTCCTGAAGAAATAGAGGATGCAAGTGAAGAGCTCTGCCAGCATGAGATTAACAGTTGGCTTTGTTAAGTGTCTGTAGGTATTTTCTTGGGTTTTGTTTGGACATGGGATCAGCAAAACTTATCAATATTTACTTTTTCTTGTTGTTTCATTTTTTCCTCTTCTGTCTGTTCGTATTCTTCTCTGATAAATGTAGCAAGTATCTTCACAGAAAGCAGAGAAATGTCTTCACTAACCAAGTTGTCCATGACCTGTACAAACTGTGGCTGTGTGAGGCAGCTTGCAGCAAAGGAACTCTGCTGGTTCTGACCTGTGTCTGAAAGGCAGAAAGCACAGTGTGCCACAGGAAGCCAAAGGCTGCCTTAAAGCCAACCACGTGGCAGCTATCAACASAGTCCTCAATCCTGCACTTCCTATCCAGGGAAATTACAGCTGAATACAGACTGACTCCATGCTGAGTAAAGGCCTTAATCTGCTTATAATGTTCTAATAGTAGCTTTGCAGATCCAGTCTGGCAYGGATGCCATTGTACAGCCAGGTCAAGGCCTGACTGCAGGTGAGCTGGAATTGCTGTTACTCAGCAGGGGACTGTCTGAGACAAAGAGCWCATTGAGGGACTGCGTGCAAACAGGATGCACATCCAGGGATTGACTGACTGAATGGCAGGGCAGTGCTGTGCACTGGGTGTTATCACAGAAAGCTGTAGGTTCCAGGGAGCTGTACCATCAGCTTTACAACCCTTTGTGTAATAAGCCTGTCACTAAATTTCTTGGACAATGTAGACCCAGTTCTTGTGGTGGTCTAAACTGTGTGGTGGTCTAAACACAAGTGTGTTCACAGAGTGCTAGCAAGGAGGTTGACCCTTCTGGGATGTTTAAGAAAATATCTCTTTGAAACACACAGCTGTCTGATCACAGCCTTCCTGGAACAAGGGCCTTTGTAGACTGTGAAGTMTGATCATCCTTTGGAAACTCAGTGAGAGACAAATAAAAGGTTCCTGCTAGATGATCTCATACATCTCTCTACAGGTAGTCACAGTCTAAAAATTATTCAAGTAATTTCTGGATTTAATATGCTCAGGTTCCTGTCTTGCTATAGTAATATTACAGAGTGAAACAGAACATAAAGTTTCTCCTTATTATAAAAATGCTGATGCTTCATAAAGTGCCTGCTTGAATTAAAGTGTCTGCTCAGTTTTGTGTCTTCATGGGGACCGGACTTCTCTYTGTGTTTGGTATCTCCACTGAAATCAGTAGATTCAAGGCCAGTGCTTTTTCCTGCTGACAGAGAGTCCTCACCTTCCTTGCTCACTTTAGCACCACTTTTAGGTTTATTTCCTAAAATCTCTCCCTTGGAAATTTCCTTTTGAGACAARACCAAATTTCCACTGGGTTCCTCACAAACTTCCTCATCAACAAGGCCTCTCCAGAAATCCATAAGATCAATATCTTGCAGCTCAACTATTGGCCCTAAAACAGAAAAAAAATACCAATGAGCTGATAGCTTGCATTGTTTTTGTTTTCTCTGGAATTGCATAAGAAAGTTTAAAGGAAAAAGATATTGCCAAGCAAATACAATCCAGCAGAAAGTATCTTTTGCCAAAACACATYTCAGGAACACAAAACTTCAGAATAATGTCTTTGCCTGCAGAGATCTGCACTTCTGGATATGAATTACACCATTTTTCTTTTGAAATAAATGTTTCCTCATTCTCTAYGCTAAGAAGGAGAGATGTAATTCGCCTTGAATTTGATGTCAGCAATTAATTAATATCCAATATCTTTAAAATATTTTACTTCCATGCAAATTATTCCCTGMATTTTTCTTTACCTTTCTATGTGCATGGAGGTATTTTGTGCAAACAGAAAATTAACTTCTAATATTGCCCAGTAAGAAGGAACAAATGTTTCAGAAAGAGTCTCTCTTTAATTCTATTTCCCAAAAAGTACTTCAGAATTTTGTATGAAGGAAAACCTTTTGATGCTGAAACATTTCTGAACATTGCATCACAGTTTGCAAAACATGTTTACAAGTTACGGTGTATAGGTCGCAGCATTCATTTGGGTCTATTTTTGGGCTCTGATCACTTCTGGTAACATTTATAAAACATATCTGAACCATCCAACCTCGTGTGGACTCCCAGTGTCTTAACCACAACTGAAACATCCCACGTGCTCACACTCTCTGGGGTTCCAGAATTCCTCCATGTCAGTCACAAGGTTTCTGTCACAGAAATCTCTCAGCAGRGCCTGTACTTTTTGTCTATCCAAGACACCAACCTAGACAAAAAGATTACAATTATTGAGTTTTGCTTGTGGTTCTTGTGACTTACATCAACATTTGCAGCATTACAAGGGCACCATTAGCCCAGAATTACCTGTGACTGATAATTATCCATTACCAGAACATCACTACAAATTTCAAAGAAGTTAATTTACTTCATAGAGGCAAAAATTTCTGCTCTGGGCTGAGCTGRAACTCCCCACACATATTACTTTGCAGCTCTTCCTCTTCCATGTCCTTGACAAATTACAGTGAGATAATTGTAACTGTTCTGCCAAAAGAGTTCTTCGTGTAAAGATCAAAGCTTCAACATTTCATACTCTCAGGACAGATATTGATTGCCTGACAGTACCATGGAAGAATTTTCATGTATTATGGGCTGTGCTGTATTACCTTAGTGACTGCACATTGTACTTTGGTTTTGTGCCCCATCATCTCCTTTGAAGTGTGACATATCGGCAGCTGCCTGGAAACATAATTAGTCCAAAAATCTGAGCTATTATGACAACCTCCCTAATTTCCYTTAAAAATTCATAGACATTTGAGCACAGAGGTGAGAGGTATCAGCAGTTCCAGTGCAGAGGAAGGTGCAGAGTTTATTAAATCCTTGTTGCTCAGGGTGAGTGTACACAGACGATAAACCCAGGAAAAGGCAATGAAATGGGTCATTTCCAATCAGGAAATTGTGGGGTTTAAAAAGTAAAGCAAASCTAAATGATTGCAAGTTTTCCATTTTATGATGTATTCCTGTTGTCATTACTTAAGTCCTGCCACCTTCGTAATCTCCCTGGCATTAGTGAAACACAGTAGTTAATTASGAAACAGATTTACTTAAGTTCATTATTTGTAGTGAGTAGCTTTCCATCTGAATTATTGATTTCCTTTTCACATTTTGCTCTTAGATTAAAAACTGCAAAATGTAAAATTTACCAGGCTTTTAATTCCTTGTGAACTTTGCCTGCCCTTAGACTAAAGAAATAAAGGAAAAACTTATTCTTTTCAGGAAATTAGCTCAAGATGACTGCATTGTTTATAATCTGAAACTGTAATGAATGGCACCAATTATTAGAGAAGAGGATTTGGAAACAACTCAGAGATACCCATCTCACCCACTGGTGAGGTTAATGCTGGAACKAAGTGAACAGAGCACATTTGCTGGTACTGCAGCACCTTCCTCTACAGGGAACTGAAAGTTTTTTGCCAGTTCTGAAGAAAGGACCAGAATTGAAACATAAGAAGCCATCTGGTCCAATTTTAGTGTTTCAGACTCTAGTAATTTAATTCCTGCTAGTAAAAAAATGGTGGAAATTAGGGTTGAATTTCAGCCATGGGTGGGTTTGGAACAACAAATGTCATCACAGAATTCTATCCCTAAGCTTACAAGATGTAGGTCCTGATTCCCAGAATCTTCTGACATTAACATACAAATACCTTGCACACCCCTCTGCAAACATTTCTACTTTCTGTGTATTTTTCAGCTGAATATATCAGATCATGATCTGATCCGTTTAGGAGATGCACAGACACAGAACATGTTTTTGAAGATGTTACCAGATCACTGCGGAATATTTGGATTATCCATTCAGTATTTCCATTACACACACMTAATTTTCCATGCAAATTTCCTCAGCTGTTACTTGTCACAATAATCTGCTGGTTGCCTTGAACTTTGCAGTACTAATTCACAATTTTACTTTATTAAAAATTATTAAAAAGAAAACAAGGATGTTGTTTTGGAATTCAGTTACTTTTTTGTCATATTAAAATAATGTAGTGGGAGGATTTAGATATCTCAAATTCTTGAAGAGTGTTTTCTGATTTGGATCAAATTATTTAACTTTTATGTACTGTTAAAATAGATAAATATATAAAAATAGATAAAATAGCCGAAATGATCAAATATTAATTAGGGAGTTGCTTTCTTGTTTTAACATTTACAATTTATAGARGTTTGCCATTCTACCAGAGGTCTCTGTTATGTCAGGACACTTTTCCTTACAACTTACCCTGGGAAGCACATGTCACAGTACAGCCATCTCTGGAACAGAAAAATGCTGCCAGAAACCCTTTCCAGCTCCTCTCCCCAGCTGTGCTTTTTTCCCRAGTTCCTAAATTTAGTAGAAAAGGTGACTTTTCTCTGCACTTGGTGTGTGACTGRGGAGGCTGATGACAGATTCCTGCCCACCTGCCCTTTGTGCTGCACCTTRTGAGCAGGACAGGTACAGCCTCCCCCTCCACAACAGAGAACCATCTGTGTTTGTACAGCGCCCAAAACTCGGGGCAGCTTCAGTGCCCAGGGAGTTGAAACASGTTGACCTCATTTTTTTGTCACCTAGATATTGGCAGGTGATGATTCTCAGCTGTTTGCAGCAATGTTCTGTGACCTATGAGTAATTCCTTTGGCAACACAGACTAAACCAGACTTGCCATTTAATCAGGGATAGGTCAGTGTTTAACCACTTGATTGTTTTTCTGGAAATGTGATGTGTGTATCCTGAACCCTACTATGAGCTTGTTAGTGAGCAAGAGGGAAGAACAGACACTCAGAARAGGTCATGAAAAAGCAGACTTTGTTGTTGCAGTACTGCAAGACAGATAATCAGCAGTGTCTCAAACTTCATTAGCTTGAAAACTAATCTCTGACGAAATTCAGTTTCATTTAAAAATCACAGGTTTAAAACATCCCTGGAAATTAATGCATAGTTATAAGCGAAACTATACCTTCTAAAAGTGAGCACGGAGACAATAAACTTAAAATTCACAGAACCATTGCCTTTTGGGGCCTTATAGCAGTGATCCAGCTGTGGTCTGGGATTGTCTTGGTAAATTTCTGCTGCAGTGTATAGCCCAGGCTGTCCTTGCTGAGCTGCCATCCTTCTGGATGCACACATTTGAAATCATAATAATGATCGTGTGGATGCCTTCTAATTTGACTGTAATTTAAACACTGCTTTCTCAGCTCCCTGGCCCTAATTGCAGCTCATTGAGGCAGCCAGCCACACAGCCATGCAGACTGGAATAACTGCCTGCTACCAAACAAATGGAAATTAGGGACTGAAACAACTGCTTTGCTGTGCTTTGCAGAATGGACTCTACAGGTAATGGATCACATTCAAGTGGTACAAGTCCTTGAGTTATTTTGCATTTTATCTCCCCTGTGGGTACAGTAGAACTTTACAAAAGAAACCAGGTCAGGTTTAAAAGAGCTGCATGGCCCACACGACACTTCAGTGAACTCAATTTGCAGGGCAAGGCTACCTCRGAGCCTGGAAACCACAACTCTGTGCTCTGATCAGTTTTTTTTTTTTTCAGCAGCAGTGGCGTCATTGCTGATAGCTGCTCACTCCTGTTGTGTTTGTATTTTTGGCTCCTTGCCTCTGAGATTCCACTGGGATTAGTAGCATGGAGATGGTGATTACTGCCACAGAAATAATAGGAAGAAAGTCACATTAAARCATGAAAGGAAAGAAGAGATCCTTTGGAAATCCATGGCAAAGACAGGACTCCGGTTTTTACATCGCTGTAGCCAGAAGGATCCATCACAGCCCTTCTTGACAGAGCTGTAGGAAAGTGAAATGTCTCCTAGCTGGGAAGCAGACACATTTCTTCCCTCATCCCTGGAACAGCAGCTTGCCTGCCATTCTCTAAAACACACTATTGGTGTTGAAACGAGCTCTGTAATTCCTTTCTCCGGGCGGTAATGACATTATTAGCATGACATTGTAGAGCACAGTTCACTCTGGGTAGGCGCTGCAAGCATCACTGGAGGAGTGCTGGGTGGAATATATAATTTATGTAGGGCAGAAAACTAAGATCAGGGCAACTGCTTGCTCTGTAGTAGCCAGCAGCTGGCAAACTGAGGCTCCTCATAAYCAGTACCACACTTTTTGGATAAAGYCCAAGCTTTTAGCAATAGTTCATGCCATTTATTCTTCTGTCTCTACTATGTACTGGTTTTGTAATAAGTCTAGCACCTTTTTGTTTGCTTTTTAATAGGGATGCAGGTGTACTGAGAGGRTGATAGATAGAGTTTAGAGCTGCTGAAAACCAAATTATGGCTTTTGAGTTTCMTTTCCAGCTCTGTAACTGACTTACTGTATTTTAATTTCCTGTCCATAAACTGTGGCTGAAGTTCACGGTACTGTTCTCAAAGAGGCTATAAAGGTGGATTATTTTGCATTTTAAATTTTAACTATGAGATTTATTGATAGAASTCTTTAAGATCTATAAAGTAATGCAACATAATTAATGCAATATATGTAATCATTGAAGTAATGTGCACATTTGTTAAAGTCAATCTACATCAGATTATCTTTGTTGAAATGTGGCTGAATAGATAAATGAGCACTCAAATATCCTGAGCGTGCTGTGGAAGCAGGTAATTTTTAGAATTAAAGGCCATGCTTAATTCCTTCTCCAGAATCATTAAACTTCAGTCTCAAGTCATCAGTTTAGGTAATTCAATTTCTAATTAGTCATCAGTTAATAGGCTGTTGCATGTTTCTGTGTCTAGGAACTATGAATTTGACAACAAAGCTGCAGCTATTATTCTCCATAATACTGCTGTGTAAGCACAAAGAGAGTATCTAGAGTTGAGAAAAAAAAAAAGCAAGCAGTGAACCAGAGAATACCAAACTGGAAGCATGCCCACATGGAAATAAGGCTCAGAGTTGCTTTGCCTACCTTTCCATAATCACGATCTTGGAAGAGGTCAACAAAAATTTCCCTCCGCCAATCATGTTTTGTTGCTTCTTGGAAGTTCTCACCACAGTGACGGAGATATTCCATGATTTCTTGAAACTTGTCATTTGAAACATGTTCAATGTAGGAAAGGACACACTATGGAGAGAAAGAAGCAGTGGGCATGGTTAGTTTTCTTCAAGCATTTTCACCTTTAGTTGAACTTCTAAAAATCTATKGTGTGCAATGAAATATTTAGGAATTTGTAATTTAATCTGCCAACATAACACAGACTTGATGCCTTCCCTTCAGAAGAAACAAGCCTGGGACACTGCAGAAATCCTGAACAGTTCCTTTCCTGGTGCAGAGGTCACTTATCATGCTCAGTGGTTCAGAGATGCTGGATCAGATMCCTCCTATGAAATGTTGTGGCTTAAGCTCGATTTTCTTGCGGAGGATTTAAGTTCTCCATGGTTTGCTGCAGCATTTAGTATTCCTGACTTTACTCCCAAGGAGGCATTTTGAGCCATTACACTTTGCAGAACTGTCAGTCTCTCAACTCTCAAATGCCACAAAATGAGCATTGCCTACAATTTCTATGTTTAGAGGACCACTTGGACACAATAAAAAAATGGAAGACCCTTTTGAAAATGAGCCTGCTGTCACCTAAGTCTTCTGACACAGGGAATACTACTGACTTGAGATTGATTTTACGTTCCAGCCTTGGAGGCACTTTAACACTTTGGATTTATAGCCATGTGGCTTTTATGAGCAAAAGCAATATGGTTCTAAAAATGTGGTGTGCATGACATAAATAATAATGGCCATCAGAACAAACCACAATCCCAGAGCCTGTGCTGAATTATTATAGCAGGTTTCTGGAGCCAGCCACASTAACAGGGAGCCCATAGAGTTAAAAGGAGGAATTTCCAAAGCACGGAACGGTTCCCATTATCCCATTTTTTTTGAGTATGGATAGCTGGCATAAGTGCTAAAACATTTTGGACTTGTTGAAATGCCACACAGGCATTAACCAGCTGAAATATTAATATATGTTATTATTMTTCACATCTATATTGCCTAATTTCCAAATATACGGGACAAATGGAAAAGAGTGGAAAAGCAGAAAAAAAGCAATGTCCTGAGGGGTGGCTGGTAGGAAAGCAGAGCTCCTAATGCAATGTGAGCTTTTTCTTCATTTCAGCATAAAAAGAGGATGTGGGTTGGAGAGAAGGAGGCACAACTGAGGCTATGAGTATCCATGAGCTTCMTGGGGTTATTACAGCCCATTACCCTGTGACAGAGGAACCTTAAAGGCTGTTGAGATAAGKCAGGTTGGACAAGCAGTTTGTTTTTTTGGATGTCACCTTGATGACACATCCAAAGGCTCCTGCACTAATGCTGCTGTCTAACAGCTTCACAGGACTCTGTTTACAAGCCCATGTGGGCAGGAGACACCCTCACAATCTTAAGCTTTTCTTAACTGATGTGTAAATTACTGTACACATAATTAACATACATTTATTTGTTATTAACCAAGAGATTCTGACACCTCTCTAAAGAAAGCTGGCACATCTCCTTCTTGCTACCCAGAGGCCTTGGTGTTTGTGAACACATTATCATCAAAAACAATGGATCTGTGCTTCTTGTTCCTACTGATCTCACTAGAAATCTAGAAAGTCACACGCAATCGTGGAAAATAATCTCACCTTTAACGGCTGATTCTGGCCTGCAAAGGCAAAGTGAGCACTTCCCTTGGTGTCAATAGCTTTGTACCAGACAGCTGGGGGTTCTGTGTGTTAAAGCACAAAGCYGGTGAAATAAACTATTAAGGGCTGGTCTCTGGGATTTTTTTTTTTTTCATATAAAAGGCCCCACAAGGTTGTCACGAAGAATGTAAAAACACAACAGCCACTGTTCTGCACTTTTGAAAAAAAAAAACCAAACCCAAACCCCAACAAGAATGATGTGTGAGGTCTTTCTACTGAGTTTCTAACAGCCTTTAAGTAACCCAAAGGCACTGAATTCAAGGAAGAAAACAGAAATTCTATTTAATTTTAAGGCCCATTAAAAGCAATATTTTCCACATAGGAAAGGGCCGTGACCAGCATGGAGGAAGATCATCTCTTTCTGGGTTTGGTGGATGATAGAAAAGGATGAACAAAGGTAAATTGTRGCTGAGGATTAGAAGCAGCCCTGTCCTGATGATGGAACAGTTCCCAAGGGAAGGGATGAAAGCTTCATAATTTGATTCAATTAAAACCGGACTGGAAAAAGCATCAGAGAATATGTTCTGAGAGAACATTCCTGGCACATCAGACAGCCTGACAATCCATGTCTTTTGTGCTTCTGATCTCTGTTGTCATATCTTTAATTGAGTTAAAATAAAGAGTACACAAAGTATATTTTAAACAGTTTTCTAATGCTAATGGAGCATGAATTCATTCAGTGATTATATATATGTACCATAGGGGTTATGGACTGATGCTTCATTGCAGTGACAAAAGCAATTCTCTGGGCTCTCATTATCCACAATRGTCTTCTTAATTAGATGCAATAATTCTGAGGTTAAATTCAAAAATATCTCATTTCATGCTCAAAAAAACCTTCAACAAGTTACCATAAAAATGCATCTCTGTGCAAAATACCAAACATGTGAGTCTCCTGAGAGGGAAGAAGGCACAAAAATCACACATGGTTGCTTGGAATTAGTCTCTGCACAGCTGCTTTATACTCTGGTTTTAATTATTATAACAGCACCCACTAGCACTGCTGCAGTGAGGGTTTGCCATTATTCCTATTCTAAACACCCCTTTTCACAGGTTTAATTACCCAGCCATAAAACCCAGTTCTGTCACAGGTAGAAATAGCTGGCAAAGCCTTGGCCTGGACAGTCTTCAATAAATATAGTTTGAACCAATTTGGTTGTTTTCAGCTTGAGGAGCAGCAGAGTAATGGGGTGAAACTTCYAACTACATTTATGATTTTGATGAGTTAAAACCACACTTCTGATATTTCCCAATGACAGCTTTTGAGTTCAAAACTACTTGGTTATGCTTCATGAATATTTATGAGACTTGTTGCAGTTTGTTTATGGTTCAGAACAGTGATAGTTCAGGGCAAAAGTGGAAAGCGTCTCATCCCAGTTCCTCATGGTTTGGTTCTTCTCTGGTTAATGGAACTTAGTCAGAAATAACAATACTGTGAGGATGTTACTAATTAGCTCAGGCTAATGGTTATAGTGGGGCACCAAACCTCATGTGAGCAGCCAAGGAAAGTCTGAATTCACAAGTGATTCAGGGCTTTGACATTCTAGAAAGAGACAGGGAGGGATGTCCTAAAAATCAGAGTAATTCCCCAAAGGGCAGCACAGGCTCCACCTCTGAGSAAAGCAAAACACCTCCCTCCAGCTGGCAGAATGGAAGCATTGTGGCAGCAGAGGATGGAAGATAGAATGTGAAATGTCCAGATACMATCAGTCACCTTGGATGCTGGAGAAGGGAAGCTCTTCACTTACTCCTCTGGACTGTCCCCGGGGAAATGCTGATACTTTGTGATAAACCCCATTCTGAACCAGATGCACTTAATTCATTTCTCACCTTTGTGAAYGCCTTTAGGTGTACTGTTTTTTCCAATGTGTTTAAGATTTCCAGCTTCCTGTCATGGATTACTGGTAAAAAAGTGAAGGGATATTGGTTTAGAAAGCAACAGTTGTAATTTTGCATATTGTACACATATTTTTGCACATTATGCTGTTACATTAATTTTCTTCTCATATTGGATGACATTTATTTGAGGTTATCCCACAGTAGCTGAAGCATCTGACTGCACAGAGACCATCTAAATCTGCTTGCATTTCTCTTGCTGAAAATCTGCATTTAGCTATTCAGAACTGTAGAGTCATATTTATTCTTGACATAAGTTGGTGCAAATTGCAATGATTTTAACAGTACTTACAACTAATTATGTGAGGGAGGAAATGATTTTTGATTTAACAAACAGATAAAACTGCCTTMGAGCTCTGGAGACATGGATTCTGCTTTGCAAAAGCGGAATCTGAAAATCATAGTAATTTTCTCAAGAATATGGGAATATTTTTACTGACGATGACATTCAAAAGTATGTTTTGGTCACCCTCTGGGCTGCTATAATGGAATTGAGAAGAGACATCAAACATCTACATAGGTTTYTGAATGAGTTCTTTGAGCACAGACATGCTATTTCTGTTGGCATTATTTTTCTGTTCTTTCTTCTAAATATATCAGGAGTAATGAGAAAATTCGTCATAGAATGCATTTATCTCTTGTTGGTTAAGACGTTCCTAAACTGTACATTATCTTTATTAAACTATAAAACAGAGTGTAATGTTCTGTTAATGTATATTGAATGCTATTAAATGAAATAAATTAAGAAATGGAGCTTATTAGTGAGACAGTACAGACAGCACCCCCAGCATCTGGAGAGCAAATATCTGGGCAGGAAATTCCTTCACAATCTCATGTCCCAGGGTGTGTTTGCACTGGGGAACCACAGCTCCACAGCAGGAACACAGGGGCTGTGTTTGGCAGTCACACAATGTCCTACCAACACTGGATGATTACTCAGAGGAACAAGTCTGTAATGCAGATAGGGCTGAGCAAGGGTGAGCTCTAGGCAGAGGTGACTCCAGCAGCAGGCAAAAACACTCTCTGGAGTGCCCTGTTTATTATCCCAAATCAGCAAAGGCRCATTTGTTATCACTGATGATCATTAAGGCTCTCCATGCCAAGGGCTGGCAGCAGGCTCGTTGCCACTTCAGTGTTCCTGGCTTTATTCAGTTATCATCATCTGGGGAGGTCAAGTGTGAGCTACAGAAAGTGGACAGGAATTATGGAAACCTTTCTGAGCTGAGTGCTTTGGTACAGAGGCCCTGGGCTGTGTGTCACTGGATGTCTGGGGCTGGCTGAGGGAATGGCTCCATGAGATGGGATATTGGGTGGAGCATTTGGTAACACCTCAGCATTTCCCCTGAAACAATAACAACACTGTCAGACTTTAATTTTGTTGATCCTGCCTTGYTCCATACATCCCAGTATGCCAGTATTTCCAAGACCTCCCATGAAACACTGTCTGATAGGGGAGGTGAAGGAGGAGGTTGGTAGAGTGATTCTTAAAAATAGCAGTAAGAACATGGCAATGTTTGGCTAATRAAGGATTTAGGTGRAAAGGGCCTACATCTKATCTTTYTGTCCCCCTGAAAGGTTTTTTTAAACTTTTTTTTCTAWACTTTCCAYGATCATATTAATGAATTACATGGTGGTTCACTCTCTTGTCAACCTATCTGAAGATTTGTGGTTCATRCTCTGATGCAACTCCCCTTAGAGATTCTTACTCTGTTATCAAATCCATTTGCTATTTGCTCACAGTTCACACACAGAAATAAAGCTAAGGAAGACACATTGACAACTTGCCTTTTCTCTTTTTTTCAGGAATAGAATCAGTGACATCTGGAAAAAACCTCAAGGCATTCTGAACCTAAAAATCAAGGTAATGGTCAGAGGCATGCAGACAACAGTAGGCAATCACTAAAATAAGTCAGCTGGAATAATCAGACATAGGGGCCAGTCATGGGTCTTACACATAGATAAGATTTGTGGACAATGATCTGTCCCCTGCCCATGTGGTGGCAGAGCCATCACCCATCCTTGTGCCCCATGCTGCCATGCCAGGGCACTAGCACARATATCCTTTCCCTCCTGTCTGGAATAACCACAGCAAGATCTCCCCTAGTTACCAGTGCTGCTGGAATTCCATCATGGACATCCACTGTCCACTCCTTGAACAGAGCTACCAACACCTCCTTTCTCCTCTCTGTCTCCTCATTCTTCTTTCTTTCTATCTCCTCTCGTTCCTCACGTTTGTTCTTTGCCTCAGCCTTCATCATGGCCAGCCTGTAGGACATGGGAATATGGATTAGAAAGGTACCATCATAAATATACTTAAGATTGATTAGGCCTACCCTAAAGAACAGAACAAAAGGAAGYAACTTTTTGCTGAAATTCCTGTCTGTGTGGGAGACACATAATGGAAAATCACCTGTGCAGCTCTCCTAGTTTTGTGTAATTTTGACAGCAATACATTTTACCTTCRCATTTATAATGACATTCATCATTTATTGTGTAGATGTCCTTCAATTTCCTTTCAATTCTAGCAGGGAGACAGGTGCATAATTTTGCTACAGTTGATTTACCAACAAAATTGCATCAGTCTTCATTGTCTCCACACCCAAGTACTTTTTCACACAAGCACTTCACTGGCAAAGAACAATGTTCAATGAAATTTCTGAAGCAGCCTCACACAATAAAGTCCTCACTGCCTTAGGACAGGGATAATACCTCAGCCTCTCCATCATTTTAAACACACAGAGTTTTCAGGTTTGGACTGTACCTCCCTTTATTCCTCCTTCTGTTTTCTTTGCTTCTCTAATCACCCAGACATGTTTTTCCCAATCCTTCATTTTACACACCAAAAGAACCGAATAAAATTGATCCTAAATTCATATGCTTTGATTTTGACTTTGTTAATTTATGAAATGGAAAAAAAATAAAAGCCTTTAGGAAGGTCAAAATGCTTGGAGCCAAAGGATCAGTGTATATGGAGAGAACAGCTCCAGTTCATGGAGGCTGCTAGAATCTCTCTGCACTGAGATAGCTGCTCATCTTTGCAGCCTTCAAATCCTCTGTAGTTACTCAGGGAGTTGCTCCTCTTTTATACCTGAGAATTAAAAAAACCTGTATTTTAGCTAATGATTCCTGCTCCCTTCTTCCCCCTGTGTTTCACATGTGTGAGATGGGCTGATCCTGTCCCTGCTCTCTTCTGTTCTTCTGGGGTCATCCTAGAAATTATAACCCATCAACAGTTTCTTTAATGAACAGAAAGACCTGTTTTACATGTCACAGCAATACACTTTGATCACAGTCAGTTTTATCACAAGATACTTYTTTTTTCATGGCCGTTTATCACGTTTCTTAATGAATCATTTGGCTTCTTAATCAATGGTGGGCATTGCACAAGAGCTGCTGAGGCAGCTCAGCCTTGGGCACTTTGATAGCAGGRGAAGAGTAAAATATTTTCCCATCTTCTGACTCCTTCCAAGAGCCAGAGAAGAAAAGGAATGCAACAGGCACCAACCTAAGTGGCCAAACACATTTTTCTCCAGTGTGTGCWGCAGACAGAAAGAGAAAACCAGACTATTTGTAGAGGTAGCTCYTCCTCTGGAGCTGTCTGCAAGCTGGAAGGAGACCCTGTGCTATGCTTGGAGCTGCCAAGGTGCTCTGGTGATTCGTTTGGGCAGTGTCCAGTCCCAGTTACATTCTGTACTGCACCTGCACTGGGCTGCAGTTTTGCATTCATTTCTAGGGTCCTAAAACACTGAGCAGCTGCATCCTCTGCCTGGTGCCCCCGGGGTGGGATAAAACATTTCCCCCTTAGACAATAATCACAAAACAACAAAACAGGGGTAATAGCACAGGCACCCATTGCAAAGTGAACTCGTTTCAGATCAGAAATTCCAGAAAACATGGAATGGCAGTGAGATGACTTCTCCCTGCAGAATCAAACATGTTTCCTCAGGAAGAGAGATGCCTGCCTCCCACACAGGGATGGGTGACTCAGCCTGAAGGACTCCCATCCCTGGACAAAGGCTCTGTTTCAGGTATCAGACCATGTGCATAARGAATGTCTCCCATCTGTTCTCCTTCCTGCCTTGACTCCCAGTCAGGTGGCAGTTAAGGAGAAACTGGAGGAAGTCCAACAGTGCTCACYGAGGATGGGTAAGTGTTAGATGGGAACCTGTGGTGAATCCTGCCTTTCCTGAAGGCAATGCCAAGGCTGCCAGGACCTTCATTTGGGCCAGAATTTTATTCCTCACCTTTATAGTGCTTATGTGAGAGACATTGAGCACAGACTGGCATTGCTCTGGTAACACTCCTTTCCTGTTTGGAAAGCCAGTGACTCACATGAGGAGTCTCACTGCTGGGTGGTGKTGGTAAAATCCTGTGTTGCTGTGATTTTAGAATCCCATGCAAATCCCACAATACAGCCATCACAAATATGTAAATCCTGAGCTGCTGTGAATGCAAATCCCATGATACTACTACCAGTGGATATGCAAAACCTGCTACAGCCGTGATTACAGAACCCCCCTGGCAATGCTGTCTGTGGAGATATTTATTTCTGTAAGTCTTGATAGTCACTCCTTTTTCATCAGCTCTGAGAGCTACAAATTGAGAACCTGCCTCTAAATGTAAAGATGGGCTTAACAGCCAAGGTCAAGATAACAGGTCACGGGTAGCAACACTTCACATTCAACAGGAAAATCTGTCCTCTCCAGAAATAAGCTCTGATTCACCATGAAAGCTAAGAGTATAAAACAGAACAAAAACCTGACTCAAACCCCCAGGAAATTTTATGTATTTTAATTCAATTACTTTTTTGAAATAAAACTGAGATATGGTCCTGTATCCAGGTGTCCCTCTGTGAAGCAATATGAGTGGTGAAACAGTCCCCAAAGCAAAGATGTGGCAAGTCTGACATACTACATGCCCCCAGAACAGTCTGTGCTTGAGTGGAAGCTTACTGAAAGAGACGTTTCCCCTGCTCATGTGTTTCAGTGGACCAACATTTAAAAAGTCTTTTACCAGTGACTGTATGAAATTCACTTCTCACACTTCTTTGTTGTGTTCACACCAGGCATGTTTCTACAAACTGCAATTGTATGTTTAATGGAAATGTGGAGACAGAAGCTCAGATAGAGAGATTTAACATATCCTTTTAAGCATTACAATACTGGGAACTTCAATTATCTTCATTTAGGGTTTATGCATTAGACATGTCAACATTTTACTTCCCTAATTCCTGACACTGAAACCAATTTTCAAGCTGTATGCACTATTTATGCAAATAAAGAGACAGTCATTCAAATAGAAGCCATTATTCTACACAATATAAAGTGATCTAGTAGTGAATGAGTAATTTTGACATTAATCACAATCACCTCTAGAACTGAAAAGTTCACATCTATATTTTCCTGAATAGAGCAATGAAAATAAAGCATCATTGTTCACTTAGTGCTCTCACATTCTAATCTTAACATATTGTTAGGTGCCATGGAACCCCCTTCCAATATTCATTAAGYATTATACTAAAGCAAACAGCTTAGAAACAAGCAACAGCACAAAATACAAAACAGTTTCAACTTTAAAGGGAAAAAYAGAATCTGAAAGGAAAGCCTAAATAAAAATCCCAGAAGGAGTTTCTACAGTGTGCCAGGACAATATTGTTGGTTTGGWCAAGAGAAATCATCCTGAAGGAGGGACAAAAGGCTACATTCTTATTAAGTTTGGAAGACTAGAGAAGAAATCTGAAGACACTRATTTGATACTAACACCTGTCCCAAAGAGCTGCTGTCACTAAGCTAGAMTGGTTTGGAAGCAGTTTGCATTGCACATGTGTAATTAAGATTGAGTCTAAGGAGAAATTATATCCTTGTACAGAACAGAATACTGCCTTAAACAGGAATAACTAGTGTTCCATTTTGTGTGACATGTTCTGGCATTTGTCCTGCTTCTCAAGTTTTTATGAGATAAATACCATCCCTGGCACTGGAYTCCATAAGGTGTGTTTTGCTCGACACTCTGCCAGCCAGGCTGCAGTGACACCATTCCCTTTGTAAAACAGAGACCAAGATACCAGCTCTGGCCTAGTACCCAGCCCCACTGTCAGTGCTCTCACCTCTGTGATGTTGTACCTTGCATCAAAGACTTCAGCTCCTCCGAGACCACCTTCATTTCTCTCAGGTAYGGGCCTGGTTGTGTAGGAGCATTATACTTAGGGTTATGTCTCATCAGATATTCTGCAAGATAATTAATGGGGTTAAATTTGGTTGGTTTTTGATCTGATACAAGCACATGCTTTCTTTCCACTTCCATTAACAGATTTTCTACTCCTGTGGTTAATGTAGGAAGAAGTTTATCAAGCAAATAGATGCGAGTGTCGAGTGACTCCTTCTCCTCATTGTACCACTCTCTGGCCAGCCAGTCACCGGGTTCTCTCCTCTGCACCTTTTTTTCTTCTTCCTTTTGTGCTTGGACCATCCTCACCTTTGCCTCCTGCAGACTCAGACACCTTTGTTGCACCATTTCATGAAAACACTCTTTCCACGAAGTGTACATACTAGGAAATGGCAGTTCACCATTCCCCTGATTGTTTTCCACCTCTGTTGCAGTCCCATCCTCATGTCCAAGTTCGGGAACTGTTAAATCTGCAGGGTRGGCTGATTCTTCTGGCTGAGCAGCCATACCTCAATCACTGTGACACAGAAAAGAAGCAGTTGTTATATAATGCCAAAAGATGCAGCAGTGCCCTAACAGGTGACATAGGAATAGTCTATTGTTAGGCATTAACTAGTATTTTTTTCCTATGTTCCTGTTTTTATTCTGTTACTGCTGCTTTGTACTCTTAAATAAATACAGACCCTTTACTTCAAAGATCAGTAAATGATTTATAAAGATTAATTATGTATCACAACAGCCCTTGGAGACAGGGCAACTAAATTAGTGTGTTCCTTTCTTAGGGGAGAAGAAACTGAGACACAAAAGGGGAGTGATTAATTCCAGGTCACGTAGAGACACAGAAACCAAGTGGTGAGCAGTGCTTGGAACTTGTCCCCCAGTTCCCACCAGTGGAATCCTCTTGCCCCCAGTACATCATTTCTGTTTATTATTCCCTGCCTCCAGGAAATCCAGTGGATTCGAGACAAAGGAAGCAAGTAATGGAAAATGCCAGATACCCAGGAGCAAGATTCCTCTGCATGCCTCCTCTGCTTCAGCTTTTCTGAGGCTGTGAAGAACAGTGAGGAAGCTTGCCTCACAAACTACSTAGCTCCAGCTTTGGCAACTATGTTTTCCTCTGGACATTTTGTTAAGGTAACGAGGACACAGGTGCATGGGTCAGCAGGGCTTCCACAGAAAAGGGAAATCTATACCATGAACTCTGTAATTAAATTGTTCACAAGCACTTCATGTTGTAGATTATACTGTAAAAGAATAATCCCTTTACAGTTTCAAGAACTTCACTGCTCAAAGTGTTCACTCTGTGAAATATCAGGAAGAAACTGAGCTGCACACAAGGCACAATTTGAAAAATGTTCTGTTCACCTCTATGCATAACTGTGCATCTGCAATGGGATTTACACACACAGAATGGAGCAGAAGACTGGYTATTACTTGATTCAAAGCATGAACAATCAGCAGCATGCTGCAAATCCCCAGCTCAGTGTTAAATAACAGCAAGGGAAGGGTGATATTAAAAAATAATCAACCACCTTTCCAAATCAGAGATGAAACTCCACTCTGAACTTGTTGTCACACTACCTGTATCAAGTTTTTGTTTAAAAGTGCTTTTCACTGACGCCTTTCAGTATCAATAGCAATACCATGGCTTTTGATAGGTATTGCTCTTCCTGTTTAAGCATTTGTTCTGAAGTGAGTTCAGCCTTGCAGGAAATGCATAAAAGTGACCTACAGCCCTCCTGGTACAAAAATGTAATTATGAAAATGTTGACCTTCTGCTTCATTACCACTAGTGGAGTACAAATACTGCCTGGATAGGTGGGATGCTTCAYAGCATTAACATTCTAGGTTTGTTTTCTCAATGGGCTTGTTGGCATCTTCTAGTATTTTTTTTCCAAAGGTGGTTACCTGCTGGGAATGGGATGGAYTTCTGGCTCAAGCTGCCTACCTGACCCACACAGAGGGCTTTAGGCTGGCAACTGGTTTTGCCACCAAAGGACATGAGCTGGAAAGGAGTCTGGATTTACAATGGTAGAAAACTTGTCCACCCTACCAAATTGTTCCTTGCTTAGGTGAGYTCTTTTCACTAAGCTGTAAAACCAGACTCCTTGGTTCAAAGCAGGGTGTTAACCAAATGTTCTGGTCACATTCCAAATCAGCTAGTTTTGTTCTGCCAAAATAAACTCTTCTTGTAGTCTCAAATACTTATATTATTTTTTAAAACATCTTGTATGAAACCGTCTGCAGTTTCTGTGCAATGTTAAAGTGACAACTGCAATCTGCTTTAAGAGGTGGCTGATTCTGAAACATGATGAATATATTTTCTACATTGCTCTCAACCTTTTGTYAGGATGCTTTTGAGGATTAGTAAATGTTTATAAAGGATCTCTATGTCTCTGAACAAAACAAAACATAAAACAACCAATGTGACTGCTCTGTCTCAACTCCAGAAATGGAAGCAGAGCATGGAGAACCGTGCCCAGTGCTTTAATGCAGTACAGATGAAGAAGACTAAGAGGGTATGGAAGAAYATACAAACAGCACATAATTGCTAAAATAAAAAAAACAAAGGAGTGCTAGAATCACAACTTGAAATTTGGATTTGCTGAGGATTACAGAGACACAGCTCCAGTTTGGATAAGATTCTATGGCTCATAATGKTCAGTGCTGATTTATATTAGTTGAGAATTTGGTCCACAAGYRARAATTTCTTCACKGAAAYGGTGATCAGGCATTAGAAAGGGTGGAGTCAACATYCCTGGAAGTGCTCAAGAAACAACTGAATGTGGCACTCAGTGCTYTGGTCAGGTTGACAACYTAGTGTTTGGTTAATGGTAGGATTCGATGATCTTGGAGGTCTTTTCCAAACTYAATGATTCTATGAGTCTATGATTCTACAATAATATAGAGAGCTCTCAGGGCCTGTGGCATTTCCAAATAACAGTGAGCATGGAGCACAGAGGCAAGCTCTAGAAACAGCCAGGAAATTTGAAGTGTGATATAAAGTTTCCTGTAAGCCTTTGTTCAAGCTGAAGGCAAGATAAGCTTTCCATTATTTAGTAGGATGCCACTTCCCTGGCTCCTTTCCTGTGAGAAAAATATTCCTGCTGGAATCCCTGCAGGYACAAAAAGATTATCTCTGTGTCTTCTGTACAAAACCCAAATCTGCTCATAAATAATATTCTTATGGTTTCATTGTTACTCTGTTAGAGAATTTTGATGGGGGGATAAAGTCAGAAAGGACTAAAGTTTGTTTAGGTAAATATTTTGGAGATGCTGCTTKATAAAACTCCTTTCAAAAACAAAGGCCAATCTCTCTGACATTCTGTTGCTCAGAAATACTTTTGCCTTTCCCTAATGTGTTTCATACAGCATATTTATCTCATCAATCACAAAGACCCCAATACCCTTTTCATACATGATCTTTCCAATACAATTAAAATTTTAAAACCCTTTCTCTTTTGCTTTCTGAAGATCTGAAGAACTGTTTTTCTTACCTTTGGAGCAGGTATCAAAATAGATCTTATTACTCCTGCATTCCAAGTGGCTTTGCAAATCAACAGGGATTTAATATATGCCCATCTGTTCTCAACCATTAAAAATCTTGAAGTGAATTAAGGATTTCTCAGACCTGCTGTGGAGCTGGGCTGTGAGTTTTACTCCTCTGTGTGTTTGCAGTTGCTAAGCAATAATCCCAAAGGTTGCTATGTCTTTCCACGATCAGAATTGCTGTAGGTTGTCTTCTGGCTTTGGCAGAGCCCAACAGACTCTTCTGTACTGAACTTAGAACATTGCATCACATGACTGAAAATAAAATAAAATCAAAAAAGGATTATAAATAGCAGCAGAGAACATTAAAGGCAGAAAAAGAGAGACAATCCACAGGTGCCCAGTGACAGGTTATCTTCAGATTCAAGGTTCAGAACAAAGTCCAGAACTGTGTCAAGTGCATTACCAGCTGAAGGGAGGACTGTGTTAACCAGATGTGAGAGSATCTGAGACATAAAAAGAAATTAATTACAAACTCAATTTAAACATTTTCAGGCTTTCTTTCTTGTGTTGCTTTGAAGCAGCCTTGCAGGAAAGGCACACAAAGCACTAACGAGGGGGGAGTGCACAGTGCCATTTTGTCAGACTGCTTTTAAACCTGAATCTAAAGAAATTTGATGAATCCCCTTTCATAATTTCTCCTATATTCTTTGAAGAAGAATATGACAGGGAAAGGAAAAGGGGAAAGACAAACACATCTACAACAGCCATTCTGCACTCATTTACACGCATGTAAATCAGGTGCCTGTTCAGCGATTCCCTTGGGTTAGGCAGGACTTCCAGCTGAGAAACCTATGGCAATTTCTGCCAGGAAATTAGGTTTAGCTAATGCTCTTTTTTTCTTTRTATTTTGTACTGGAAGTGGCAAAATCTTTGGATTGCCTACCTGCAGGAAAACTGAACTGTGACTTTATCTATGACATTTGTCATTGGAACAGCTGCAAGGTACCCTGCCCTCTAGCACAGTATTAGTCTCCATTTCATGGGACAGCCTGTAAAAAACCTTGAAATAGAGGAGGTCAACTTTCATGTGAAATATTCACTGTAATAAATTAGCATTTCTTTGCTATTTATTTGGAAAAACATATCAGAAGGAATTCTGTCATTGCACTGCATTGCCAAGATGTGTTGAAGTCTAGCATCAATTATGTTAACAAAATGAAGCAGAAAATTAGTGCACAGGAGTAATTTAAAATGAGGCTTTAAACTGGATTGTGCACTTTTTCCTCAAAGCAGTTTGCACATGATTAATTCCTGTTATCTCTTCTCCCAGGTGGGCTTGGTTTTTCCCCTTTGCAATTCAGAATTCTGTTGCTATTATGATTACATTACAAAACTTTTTCAGTGTGAAATATAAATTTTAAAAATACTCCCCTTTCCTAAAAGGGATTGTTTTCAACCCCCAAACAAGAATATACAACTAGAACTTAGAAGAAGGGATCAAGACAGCTCTAATTTTATTTTTCTGGAAGTGGAATCCCRTGGGTTAAGCAAACCTTTAATTGCACCCTATCTAACTTGGCTGTTGTCCCTTAATGTTTTTGCTAAGCAAAGTGTATCCTTTTATTATGCCACCAAATACTTGGCACTGTTGACAAAATAATGGGCTGAATATGTCATCACAGATGTTTTGCTGAAATTGCCTCTTCTATCTTTTTCGGTTTTCTGTGTAAGATACATTTTGGGAGCACTCTGTTGTCTTTTGCAGCTGATGCCAAGATTATGCAATAAAAGCCCTAACATGTAGTAATAATAAGTTGTGTTAGCCAGGGAAATGTTTGCAGTGTATTAAATAGCCAGTTTTGGAAATGTGTACAAAACCAGCTCATGTACAGCTCCACTTCTTTTAAATGCTATTCTGGGCTGAAGCAGCAGGTGCTGACCACAGGGCTGCCAGTACAGGAAAGAATAAGGCCACAGGCTTCCAGTCTGTTTTTTGTACCAACCCTGATGCTGTGACCACAGCCTGCCCTCTAATTGCTCTTTTCAATCCCAATAMATCTGCCTTATAGCTTCCTCCTCCACATTTAAATTCTGCTGCTAAAAAAAAACATTGCACATGCAAATTACACCTTTCTAGGGGCTGAAGAACTATCACAATCTGTGGTTGTTGTAGCTAATAACTGATATGTTGGACTTGTAGTGAACTGTAGATAGCAACTCCATTGTTTACTTGTGGTAAATGTTTTTAAAAGTGTTTGCTGTTCAAATAACTAGAAGATCTACATTGTATATGAAAATTACACAAAAGTCTACTCTGGAACCTGGTTTAAATAATCATTTCTTGATAGTAATCCCTGCAAGACTTGACCAAAATCCAGACTGAAACACCAGTCTCAGGTAAAGGAACTGCTATGACACTCTGGGAACTTTAGTCTTCCATCAGTCCTTTGTATCCATGCAGACATATCTGAACTTGAGCTATGAGCCTTGAAGCAACCTTATATTTGCATGTTCAAGACCGTGGCTTGCTGTGCAGCCCACTCTATAAACTCAGTTCAGTTTAGGGAGCCTGTCCTCACTCCCTGATCTCCATCCTCGCCTGTCCACCAGGAGGCAAAATGCTCCATTAGCGAGTCTGACTTCTCCGTTGCAGCCCAGCCCAGCTACAGGAGCCTCCCTGATCATTATTTTAAACTCCGGAATAACCTAAAGAGAGACCATGTGGCTTCTTTGGTGCTTAAATTTATAGGGGCAAAGCACTGTCAGCCTAAGCAGCAGATCAAAGCAGTATCAGCCATGTGCTTAAATGGAATCTATGGGATGATACACACTCTGTTGACAGAGAGTTTCCCTATTTAACATTTAGAACACCTTTCTGGTTATCATATGTAAYGTTGCCATTTGATGCCTAAGGTAATTCTTGATCCCAGTGACCTCCTTCCCATGTATTTGGTGGCACCAGGCCGAAATTGCAAAACAAATGAAGTTTAATAGCACTTGACCCTTTGTTTCAGGCCCCCAAATGCCAAACCGTTCTGTACCTGAGAATGCTGAGATGCTTAAAATGTACTCATTAGACTCTTCTGGTGTTTGGGGTTGTGCATTGATGTACAAAGAGCTTCCTTCATGATGGAGTTCCTATTTCTCTCTAATCCAAGGAAAAGCTCCATTATGTGACCATTAATGCCAGCTTTCACCAGTGGGWGCCATACCCACTGTCAGGGCTCCCAGTGGGATGGGATTCCACAAACCATCACCAGCCAGGAGCACACTGAGGGTGCCCTGCTGACACACATTAATTAAAGCCACCTTCGGGGCTGAGGGACCCGGGAGGGATGCCGAAATCCCCTCAGGGGCCGCGATGAGGATGCCAGGACCCTCCGGTCCATCGCAGCCCCCTCAGGGACCGGGATGAGGATGCTGGAACCCTCCGGTCCATCGCAACCCTTTCACGGGCCGGGATGAGGATGCTGGAACCCTCCGGTCCATCGCAGTCTCCTCCGGGGCCGCGATGAGGATGCCGAGACCCTCCAGCCCATCGAAACTCCCTCACGGGCAGGGATGAGGATGCCGGGACCCTCTGGCCCATCACAACCCTTTCACGGGCCGGGATGAGGATGCCGTGACTCTCCGGCCCATCGCAACCCTTTCACGGACCGGGATGAGGATGCCGTGACCCCCCCGGTCCATCGCAGCCCCCTCAGGGACCAGAGCAGGGGGTGCCCGCACCCCTCAAGAGCCGCCGGCGCCGCGGGGGTTAACGCGGCTCGGCCGCCAGGGGGCGGCGCCGCGCGCGCACTGACAGCCGGCGCGTGCGCGCTGGCGCCTCATTGTGCCCGGCCGGTCCGGCCCCGCCGCGCCTCAGTCGGCGAGAGGCCGCGGGCGCGCGCGGAGCTGCTGCCGCTGCCGCCCCCTGCGGCYGCCGCCGCCGCGCCACCTCCGCTCCGCTCCCCTGTCCCCGCCATGGAGTGAGGCCCCCGCCGGACGGCCGGACGGGGGGGCCCCGCCGCGCCTCGATGGCTCTGGTTACGGTGCAGCGCTCGCCTACCCCCAGCGCCACCTCCAGCCCCTGCGCCTCGGTGAGTCCCGGCGGGCGCTGAGGGCAGCGCGGYGCTCGGCGGCCGTTGGGGTCCGGCTCGCGGCGCTGCGCATGCGCCCCACCCCCTCCGCCTCATCCCCCGGTGCCGCCGGTGCCCGGGCCCCGGGCCGGGGGCGATGYGGGCCCGCGGTGCCCGGGAACGGGGCTCACACACCCTTGGGCTGTGGCCTGGTGACAGCCGAGGGGACGGGCGGGGGTCCCGGTGCCCCTCAGCAGGCCCGGGCTGGGGTAGGGTAGCTCCCTCCCGGCYCTCTATGTACCACAGGGTCCCGGTCGTACCCAACCCCTCTGTGAAGGATGGGGCGGCGCGGGCCTGTCTCCATAAATCCGCCGGGTTTATTCTGTGTTCATTGTATGCGGTGGGAGAGGCGGGAAGCGTGTGTGGAAGCGAGCTGACATGGTTGGGGCTCCGGCCGTGCTCAGCTGATCTCATCTGACAGCACCCTCTGGGTATCCCCAGTTCCCGGCTCTGCCTTTGCGGGCAGCTAAGGTGGTTTTCTCCCCCTTTTTTTCTGAACGGTGCACATAATCTTCACAGGGCTCTGTAAAGCCCAGGAGAGACACAGAAGGRCCAGATTCCAAATCCCTGAGTGAGATGTGCAGTAGGACAGATGTTCCCATCGCTGCCCTGGTTGGGCAGGCGGCTCTGAAGGCTTCTGCTTTTCCATGCTCTTTAAACTTGGGACAGGCTGTTGTTTTGTTTGTTGTTTGTACTTTTCTATTATAAACCCCTTCGTGTTAACCCCTTATGCTGCTGTCTACACCATATGTGCTGTTCCTAATGTAGTCAAGGATGAGAATGAAAATAGCTTTGCTTTCACTTCTGTACGCTTAGTTCTAAGTTAGCATTTATCCTTAAAAAACCTCATGCATTATCACACTGCTGTTATGCCTCGTTTGCCAATGTTTGGAGGAAGAGAATAGTTGAAATCCCAGTTGCTTCCATCCTCAGTGGGGGGGAATGAAAAAGCCAACTAAAAGCCAACTACTCTGAAAATATTTCTTGTTGTGTTAGGTAACCTCTTCTGAAACTAGATCAGCTACTTGACAGGTCCTGCCTGCCCCGACAGCATTTTAGCTGTCAGAACACTTATCTTTTTTTTTCCCCCTCTTTCATTCCCATGTCTCTCCTAAGGTATGTTTACTTAGCAGCACAGATTAATTTCGCTTATACTTATCTGCTATAAATATTAATGTGCTGCATTACTTCAGAGATTTCTTCCCCTCTGACTTCTTTACCCTTTCCACTGTTCCTTTTCCCATACATTTATAGCATTGAATACATCTAGTGAGAATGGATAGGTCTCTTGGCATCTTCCTTCTTTCTCACATTTGGATGCATCTTCCTTCTTTCTCCCAGTTGAATGAATAGACCCTCCCTTTGTTAAATATTTTATATATATATATATGAACAATTAGTTGTGTTCTCTAAAGCTTTTCCATCTGGAACAGCCAGGCTGTTTCCCAACCAATTAAATTAAATTGAAACCGTGCTGATATTTRGATACTACTTAGTTCTTAAATATAAAAACAACTCCCTGTGGAGCCTGATAAATCCAGAGGATGTAGCCTTAGGCTTATGTATCYACATTCTCTTTGTCCCATGCCATGATATGGAGGTGTATTCTGTACCAGTGGTGTTTTAGAGCCTTGGTGCCCTATCCAGAAAATAGTGTGTGATATATTCCTGGCCTGCTTTTGGTCCTCAGTAATTACTTCTGCTTTCTCAGATTTCTTGCAGTATAAAATTATCTTGTTTTTCATCATATTCTTAACTGCTATTGTTTGAAAATTTCTGCATTTCCTCTTTCAACTTCCTATCCACACTTCAGGGTTTGGCTGCCCTTTTAGCCTCTCAGATAGCTGGGTGGGTTGTKTCTCCATCCTTCTGTCAGAGCTCGTGTGTGTTCCTCCTCTGCCACAAACTTCTTGTTTCTTAATTACAACTTTGGTATCATTTCAGATGATTCTTCTTCCCCAGTTGCTGAGGGTCTGTGTGCAGGAAAGAACGTTTTTAGTCCTTAGGAAGGCTTTGGTCCTGTGAGCCTGCCACGCTAGCCATTCTCATGGATCCTTCTCAATTTCAACAAGAGGACTTGATTGTTTGAGTTCTAAGTCAAATTGTTTCAACCAATCTGTTGTAAACTGGTGGTAGCTTCCTTCTATACAGACTGGTGAACTATCTCCAAGTAACCTCTTCAAATGAAAGCTCATCTTACTGAATAATTTTATGAATACTATAAGGGTCTATCCTGCAGTGTGGRACATGCTGTTTCTGAGTGAAAATTRTCTGGTAACTGCTGGAACTTTGCTGTTTTAACTTGTGGGCAAGGGACAAGCGTGTCAGTGTGCAAGCATATGGCTATGTCTAATTCTGTTTCCAGGTCACTAAGAATTTTGAGGACAGAAATGGATTCTCTTTTTAAATTGCTTAATGTCTTTTTACTTCAGAGATAAACTTCTCAGACAAGGAGAAAGGGTGAAATTGGTGTCCTCAAACTGGATTTTTTGCATTAAGTATGCCCTATAAACTGTTATAATTGGCTCTTATGGATTCAGGGGAATAGCTGATCTGAATCACTCTGAAATTGGATGGCTTTTATTTATAGGTTTTTATCTTGTTCTCATTGCCACAGAGCATCTCATGAGCATTCATTTCAGGGTAGTTCATGCAAAGTGTTGATTATACATTTACAGCCCTCTGGTTGCTTGATGACTTGTAAAATTCCTTTAATTGTCTGTCCAGACTTTTGCTATTTGTTTTGGCCTTTGGTTATGCAGTCACTCTTGAGAAATAAGACTGCAATCTTCAACCCTTACAGCAGAACAGGCACATCTTCTGATGTGCCATGGTAGCAGGAAGKGGTGGCAAACAGGACTGTGCTGCAGTAAAACATAAAGATGGCCATGAGGTCCTTGGTGCTGATGCATTGGTGTTCAAGGCAGTTGTTGGCTGATAATTATCTGTATAGGGAAATAATCTATTGAAACTTGGCATTTTAAAGTATTTTTTGCACAGTTACCAAAAATTGTATCTGTAGTTTCTGGAAAGTGTTATTTTCCTTTTGTTTATTATCTCTTTCCTGAGAAGTGAAGAAGCTGGGCAGGCAATCTGGCCCTGGCTGCTCTCACAGTTCACTTGTCTTCCCTACCCTCAGGGAGACAATATGCTTTTATTGGAAAGGACCGACTGACCCAAAAAGAGAGAATATGCTGTGTATATATTGCTCTAAAATGCACAGTTTGGGGGAAAAAAATATGCTGAAGCAAATTAAAACCTAAACCATTGGACTTCCCCTCCTTAATCTCTGGAGAACAGCTTGAGCAGGAGGTAGAGTTCTGAAAATGAGTTTGAGAGTCTTACGTTGTGCTTGGAAGCTCCTTGCTGGTAGAACCTACAGAAATACTTTCCCCACTTCTTTATGGGGATGCTAGATATAACATTTCTCTACCCCTCTCCTGTAATTGCTGTTAAACAATGTCATAATTGTAAGTTTACTTAATCATTGATAAGTTCAGTCTATCTTACACATAATTTATTTTTTTTTTTTTTTTTCAGTTAGGTTTTGATAGTTGCTGCTATCAAGGGTTATGGGCAGTTGATTTTTGGAGGGAACTACAATGTAGCTGGGAGATCAGAAGCTTCTTGTACAATATTTAGCAGAGTTAGAAATGCCTAATATTTAAAGATGCTCTTATCATCTGATTATTAAAGATCATCTGCTGTTTCTTGGTTTTCTCCAGCTGATGTCTTTCAGATATAGCCAGAGCTAACTCTGAAAACTGAAGATTTTGGAGGCAGTGGCCCAAAAGAATGAGTTGATTCCTGCTTTAGGCAAATCTTGTAGTGCCCTCCAGGTACCTTTTTCCTCTAGTGCCAGCTGTCGCCTTTTGGGAGATAAAACTGCTTCATGGATGTGGTCTGTAACTTCCTTCCTGCCTTTCAAACTTCTTCTGAAAGCCCTGTGAGGGAACCAGGAGGCCTCCACCTCTTGCTGGGTCTGATGCTGTGTTTTAAAACATGATTTCTYTCCAGCTGGACAAGACCAGGCTGTTGGAGCACAGATGATTTTTGTGTGTGTAAATGCATTCGTGTGTGATGAGACTCTCCTGTTCCTGAAGTATTTTGATGGTTAAACTGTGACAAAAGAGCTATCCTCTGAAATATCTGCTGCCTGTTGTATACACACTTAACAGGTCTTCTACTATCTTCGTGAAATGCTAGGTCCCCTTAGAGGTGTGAACAGTATTTGCAGCTGAGAAGGAGGATGATGACAGTGGAATTGGAGCTCACAGAGAACCATAAGGAAATATTCTAGTGCACGAGAAAATTCTTATCTTTTTTTTAAGGGATCTAAAAAAAATTATCTGACCAGTATTGATTCTTRTTGTTTAAGAAATGAAAATAAGCTGAAAAGGGCAGGGTACAGTAGCATCTACAGGCATTCTGGAAGCCAATGACACGTTTATTTAAGTGGAAAATGCTATTTTGAGTGGAGACTGACATCCACAAAGCAGTCTGCTGGAAATATTTTAGTGTAAGAGAGCTGCCTTTATGCAGGGGTAATGCCTGAGGATTTCCAGTTACTGGAAAAAATCCTGAAAGATCTAAAGCTGCAACTCTTCTGTCTTGGGAAATGAAAAAGAAAAAAAAATAGCCTTTGGGCAGCTTAGCTCAGTGTAGCTGCTCCCTGATCACAGCCTGCAGCTCARGGTTTCATTCTTCAGTCACAACGAACCACATCCTCCCAGGACCAGCTGAAGCGAGGGGTCTATTTACAGGCTTTGCAGTCTTCGTGTCTGACTTTTGCTGATGCCATTAGCAAGAAGTACAGACTGAGCTGTWGGTTTGTGACCTGTGCTGCCTTCACATGGACTGACCCTGCCACTCAAGAGCACTTAGGCTGGTCAGCTGCCTSCTCCAGGTGTTCCAGTTGTTTAGTTCAGCCTCTGAATTAAAGAAATCTCTCTGTGCCATTT